CTGCACAAACCCACAGTGCCCACCCCCACCTTGCCACTGGGACGGCTCCAAACCTGCCCCCATAGCAGCACTTATGGGATAATCCTGAGGATGTGGCACTTTGCAGAGCCCACCCCTGACCACTGGGGCACCTCCAGTATCGGGATATAACCCAAACCCCACTAACAGCCATGCAGCACATGCAGGAGGGGAGGGCAGGAGGATGGAGGGGGTGGCACTGCTGTGATCCCCCCCCCTGGGCAGTCAGCCAGGGCATGGGGGGAAAACCCACAGAGCACTGGGGAAAAGCAGAGAGTCAGCGAGGGTTTGGGTTTTGTTTCCTCCTGCAGGGAGCGAAAGGAAGCAGGCAGAAAACAAACAAGGGAAGAAAAAAAGCAGAGAGGGACGGGATAGAAAGCAGCGTGAAAAAAAAAAAACAAAAACGGCCGAGAGAAAGGAGATTTAAAAACGATAAGAAAAATTTAAAAATAACAACAAACAGCTACAAAACCAAGCGGGGACCCGCTCACGGAACCCCTCCTCCACCCTCCTCCTCCACCTCCCTGCCCCATCTCTGAGCTCTTACCCGTGGGATTCCAGCCAGCTCGTCCCACGTTCCCCAGCGTTCCCCCTCTCCCTGCTGCTGTCCCCCTCCTTGTCCCCACTCCCTGCTGCATGGCGGCCATGCAGGGCCCCGCTGGGCTCCAGCCTGATGTCACCCGCCGGAGGAGTGGCTTGTCCTGGTCGGTTAGGAATGTAAAGGAAGCAAAAAGAACCCGAAAGGAGGAGGAAAGAAACGTTGGGTGGGGGAAACTGAGGCACGGGAAGGCAGCGGCGCCTGTTGTTTCGTGCAATGGGTTGCACGTTTGATTTTCTGGGGTGCAGTGCTGTTTTATTCCATCGGTTTGGCTCGTGGGCTGCATCACGCCGAAGCTGAATGCTGGAGTATAGTAAGGGTCTGAAGCAATGCTGCTGGAAATGCAACGGGGAAATGAACCCTGGGGCACCAGCACTTTTATTAGGGATGTGCTCAGTGGGCACGGTGGGGGTGGGCTGATGGTTGGAGAGGTCGTTTCCAACCTTAATGATTCCGCGATCCAAGGCTGGGCTGAAAAATCCAACCTTCACCTGGCTCCTACAGCCCTGCACAACTGGGCTCACCATGAACTTCAGCCTCAGCACCATCCATCCCCCAAGGGCTGATCCTCTGCAGGACAGCAGCTGATGAAATGCAGTTACAACACAGGGGCATAGGTAGGGCTGGCAGGGGAAAACCCAGTGCTGGTTTCAGTTTCTTTTCCCGTTGGATTACATTGCTTCAAATAAAAGCATCAAGGAGAGGTTTCAAAACAAGAGTTGCTTGCTTTTCCTTTTTGTAACTCATCTTTTCTCTTGCAGGAACCCAGCACTGCTTGCTGCCTGCAAGGGTTTCATGTTCATCGTAGAATCATGAATGCTGAAGTCCTTTGAGATCACCAAATCCAACCCCAGCCCTTCCCATCGTGCCCACTCCCTGTGCCAACACATCACTGCTCTTCTGGGGAAGAAATTTTCCTAATACCCAACCTGACGGCTTTGCAACCATTGCTCAGAGCACAAAAAAAAAATCCAAACCTTGCCTTCCATAGAATCGTTCAGGTTGGAAAAGAGCACTAAAATCATCTAGTCCAGCCATCAACCCAACACCACCATGCCACTAAACCACGTCACTCAGTGAAACATCTTCGTCACATCCCTACCCAGGACATTGGGTAAAATCATAAACATTGATCTTCCCCTCCTTAAAAAAAAAAAGAAAAAAAGAGAACTCATAAAATCCATGTAAAGAGACAAAAAGCAGCTTTTACCCCCAGCCCTCCCCACTGACATTCACTTGTAGAACTCCATTGGTGACTACAGAGGACAAACATCACGGTGTCACTTCACGACGACAGCTCCATGTGTGCTGATTCCTGAACTCATCACACTTCTAATTTTTTTCTCTCTTTTTTTTTTTTTTATCACGAGAATTGTGGTTGTTATCACAGAATGTTGTGCCTAACGACTTCTGGCTTCCTTCGGATGTTTTCATTCAGCTGCTAAAACGCTGTAATGACACTGAGATAATGGCCCGCAGAAATAAATGATACAGATCATAATAGAAGGGATTTGGTTAAAGCAAAAAAGAAAACAAATAGAAATTATCCATCCTAATTAGCATTCACAGACAGCAGCCGGGGAAGGAAGGCAGGAAAGAAAGAAATCATAGAATTGTTAAGGTTGGAATAGACCTTTGCAATCATCAAGTCCAACTGTCAACTCATTACCACCATGCTCACCAACCATGTCATAGAATCACAGAACCACAGAATCGTTAAGGTTGGAAAAGACCTCTGAGATCATCAAATCCAACTGTCAACTCATCACCAACCACGCCAACTAAACCACGTCGCAGAATCAGAGAACCACAGAACTGTTAAGGTTGGAAAAGACCTTTAACACCATCAAGTCCAACTGTCAACTCATTACCAACGTGCCAATTAACTATGTCAGAGAATCACAGAACCACGGAATCATTAAGGTTGGAAAAGACCTCTAAGATCATCAAGTCTAGCTGTCAACTCATCACCAACCACGCCAACTAAATCATGTCACACAATCAGAGATCAACAGAATTGTTAAGGTTGGAAAAGACCTTTAACACCATCAAGTCCAACTGCCAACCCACCACCACCATGCCCACTCCCCATGTCACTGAATCACAGAACTTCAGAATTGTTAAGATTAGAAAAGACCTCTAACACCATCAAGTCCAACCAACAACCAGCACATCCTTGGGCACGTTTTTTGGTAGGTCGTGTTGTGGGATCTGCCAGAACCCAAATCAGCAGCATGGCCCTGGGGATACAAAGTGGTCATTGCAACAGCATGTCTTGCAGCCCCCCGTGCTGGCAAATAATTCATTGCAGCCTTCCAACAAACTGCACCTGCTGCAGAGACCGAGATGCTCTAAAACAGCTCTGAGCCCCCAGAATTAATATTTTCCTTTTAAAGATAACTGCTGGGGAAAAAGCACGGCCAATATAGATTCAACATGACTCTGGGCTTTCCATTATTCATTGAATCTCGCCCCACGCCGTGCTGCAGTGCATACATTACCATATATGACGACAAAGAAATTGCACAACTCCTGCAAACAGGCGATAAAGCGGCCGCCTCGGCTGCTCAACCACCACGCTGACAGGCCATCTCTAATAAGCAACGTGTAATTAAGTCTCTACGCACTGAGGCTGTGCTCTTGTGAATGTTTGCACGGGACCGGTTGCATGCATGGAAGTGGCAGAACACAACACCACCTGCAGAGCTGAACCATTGCACGCTTAACGCAAAGATGTGTCCCCGTTCCAGAATGCACCAGGCTCATTTGCATCCTCCACTGCATCTGTGATTTTAATGGGGTTGAAGGTCGGCAGCTCGACTCCAAATATAGATGCTACTAACCAGATGTTGTTGCTTTTTTAAGTTGTTTTTTTTTAAAATAATATATTTCATTTAGCTTTAGAAAGTTTCAAATAAACAATTCTATCGATCCCTCTTCATTAACCATGTCAGCACAACTTGATGATCCTTGGGGCCCCTTCCTACCACGCATGGGGTGGGAGCCCAGCACAAATACCCTTGACAACACCAACTCTGGCTGCCACCCCCTATCATCTTAGGGCCAGGCGTTGCAGCTGGGTGCAGACCCAACACAAACGATGGGGTGGCCATGCTCCTCCCAGCAGGATACAGAATCATAGAATTGTTAAGGTTGGGAAAGATCACTAAGATCATCAAGTCCAACCATCAGGTCACCAAGTTCAACCATCAGGTCAGCCAGGACAACCATCAGGTCACCAAGCCCAACCATCAGGTCACCCAATCTAGTCATAAGGTCACCAAGCCCAGCCATAAGGTCACCCAGCCCAACTATCAGTCACCCAATCCAGCCATAAGGTCATCCAGCCCAACTGTCAGTCACCCAATCCAGCCATCAGGTCACCATGCCCAACTATCAGGTCATCCAGCCCAACCATCAGGTCATCCAGCCCAACCATCAGTCACCCAATCCAGCCATAAGGTCACCCAACCCAACTATCAGTCACCCAATCCAGCCATCAGGTCACCATACCCATCACCCAGCCCAACCATCACGTCATCCAGCCCAACCATCAGTCACCCAATCCAGCCATCAGGTCACCATGCCCAACTATCAGATCACCCAGCCCAACCATCAGGTCATCCAGCCCAACTATCAGTCACCCAATCCAGCCATTAGGTCACCAAGCCCAACCATCAGGTCATCCAGCCCAACCATCAGGTCGCCAAGCACAGCCATGAGGTCATCAAGCTCAACCACTAGGTCACCAAACCCACCCATCAGCTCATCCAGCCCAACCATCAACCACACAAAGCAACGTGCACAAGACCCAAAACGATGCTACAAGACAATTTGGAGTTACCTGCAGAAATCACAACAAAACAGACATGGTGGCTGGGGTTGCTCCTTCTTTGCCATATGGGACTGCAAGGCCCCATGTTCCCCACCCGTCTGCTGCACCCACCCACGGATGTTCATAAAACAATCCAGAGCCATCCATCAGCTGGAGAAAGATGTGAGATAATGAGGCAAAGTGATCAGCTGGTGAGGCACCATGTGGGCTCCTCTGGGGAGGGACTGCTGAGGTCGGAGCCTCCTCCACAAAGCCTATTAGCTGCATTTAAACCAAAATTTAAAACAGGCGAGCTGAATAATTAAAAGGAAGAGTTAATGGCTCACGCTAACGGCTTCTGAAAAGCTGCTGTTTGTTAAGCAGAGCACCCACAAGAGAGGCACAGCCCTAAATGCACCCTCAATGCCACTGTGCACTGCTCCAAGGGGTGTCACACGCTGCTGGAAGCACCTGGAAACACCAAAACAGCCCAGGAAGATGCAGAAGGGAAGCAGAAAGCATCTCTTCACTCAGCAACCTGCAAGGCAGCGATTTAACCTTCAAGGAAAAAGCTCACGCTCGTTAAGCAACAGCCCTTATCTACAGGCTGGGGGCAGAATAATTCCATCGAGAACAATATATAACAGATCAAAATAACTGCAGTGCAGCACAGAGATGGAAAGCACGACACAGGCTGCTTCCTTGCTGCTAAAAAGCCAACGATCAACTCAACGGCGCAGGATGGGCCAGCAGTGGGAAGTGCCACCCATTCTGATGTTTGCAGGGCTGGCACCTATTTAACAGCCTGGCTCTAGTCTGGATGCTCTTGGTTTGATTTATTTCTTTGTGACTGCTCTCGAGGCATTAGCCAAAAAACGAAATGGTTACGGGGTGCTCAGGCTGAGACCACATCAGGCACAAATGCAATGGGATCCAATGGGCATCTTCTGCCTGCTCCTAGAAGACCCCAGAACATCCCTTCAAGTCCATGCCAAGGAACGTCCCTCTCCAAAGGACCACAGTAAGAACCCCAGAGTCATCTCTGGTCTTACAGATGTGCATTTGAGAAAGAATCTGGGACACATGGAGCAGTTTCACCTTCCTTGCCCCTAAACAGAACGCTTCCATGCATCAAATGATCAAATGATCACTCTGCTATAAAAGAAAAGCCACTATTTGGAAGCTTCACTTGGAACATCCATGGGTTTAGAGTTCCATCACTCCATTACAACCTCATCCCCACCACTGGGTTACATCCATCTTTCTCCAGACCAAACCCTCCATCAAGGCAATGGAGACAGCCAACGACAGCATCTTCAGCAGGCATCTCCCAGGAGCTGGGGCAGCCCAGGGTCTGGCAAGAGGAGATGCTTAGGGAAAGCCTTATGGGACTGCATCACTCCCACCCAGCCCAGCAGAGCTCTGCACCAAGACAGAAAGAGCTGCTTACAGCTCCGAGCGTTGCGGTCAGCGCCTGCCTGGAATTAAGTGATGCACTAGATTGCAAAGTTAATAAAAGTGACAGGTTTTTATTAATCTCTGCTCTCTCTGCCAGGCAGCAGCTCCGACAAAGTTATCAGCGCTTCGCACCGGGTGTGGAGAAGCAGAACAATATGATGCAATTAAAATGGAGCTGCAGGAGCACGAGCAAAGCTTGCAGCATGAGCAGGGTGCAGGAGGGCTCAGCATGCAGGGGCTGAGCTCAGGACTGCATCCCCATAGGATGTGCTTTGTGCTGCAGCTGAAAAACAGGTTGCCCAAGGAGGCTGTGGATGCCCCATCCCTGCAGGCTGGATGTGGCTCTGGGCAGCCTGGGCTGCTGGTTGGTGACCCTGCACACAGCAGGGGGTTGGAACTGGATGAGCATTGTGCTCCTTTTCAATCCATGATTGCATCCAGGAGGAGAAGAGCATGCAAGGAAACACAGCTGAGATGGGGGGGGAAATACAGTATTTTTTGTTTGCAAATTCCATGAGACAGAGCAGTGATGCTTGCTGGAGGAAAGTTTTCAACTCATTACTTTTAATGATGTTTTTTTTCCCTGCTGTTTCCTTGCAGACATCTTCATCTCATGCACCTTCTGGAGCTCTGCCCTGTGCTGGGCACCTCCCCAGCAATAATATTGTTCTATTGGAGAGATAAGGCCAATAACAGCAAAAACAAGCAAGGCAACGTGGGGATCTGGAATGAAAAGCAACAAAGGAACAAATGCAACGCAGCCAACTCGGTGCAAGCAGAAGCAGAGCATCTTCTGTACGCTGATATACACATAGAAATGCAACAGGTAGGGGTTGCAAAGGAGCAGCACGCACTGAAATGCTAAAAAAGCCCTCTTAGAAAAAGCTAATTTTGATTGTTTTGTGTGCATGAGATTCACCCTCGCACCGCAGCCCCTGCAGGAATCCAAATATTTGATGCCATCTGAAAGCAAACAGAACCGTCCCGAGATGACAGCTGAGAGGGAAACAATCTGGGCTCTGCGGGGAAGTTTTAACCTCCAAAATCTGTCTTGAAATTCTGGGTGTGATGACTGCAGGCGAGGGAGGAGGAAAATACAGCACACTGGTGCTGCTTCTGCCTTAGGATGGCAATGCTGGGCCGGATTCTGAAACAGCGTTACTCCATCAGGGGTAATGCTATTCCAACACTAAAGTGCAGAGATGGCTTCCTTAAATCAATTGTTTCTCCCCTCAGCTCATTTCATTACACAGTGCTCCAATGGTCACGTTTCATAGGAATGTATATTTTCCTCCAGTTTTGGGTTTTGGATGACAAAAATGCTGTTATAGCAGCCCTTATCCCAAATATCCCCTTTTATAGCACCCCTTACCTGGAATATCCCATTATAGCACCCCTTGTCCCAGCTGTAGCATCCCTTACTACAAATATCGTGCCATAGCATCCCTTCCCCCAAATATCCTCTTTTATGGCATCCCTTATCCCAAATATCCCATTATAGATCTCTTACCCCAAATATCCCCTGTTATAGCATCCCTTATCCCAAAAATCTCTTTATAGCATTCCTTATCCCAAATATCCCCTTTTAAGGTATCCCTCACCCCAAATATCCCATTACAGCATCCCTTATCCCAAATATCCCCCTTTATGGCATCCCTCACCCCAAATATCCCATTATAGATCTCTTACCCCAAATATCCCGTTATAGCATCCCTTATCCCAAATATCCCCCTTTATGGCATCCCTCACCCCAAATATCCTCTTTTATGGCATCCCTTATTCCAAAATATCCCCTTTTATGGTATTCCTTGCCCAA